AATGATTACTCCATTTCCCTTTTTATTCACCTTTCTCATTTCCTCCAATCGGTTTCACTCTGCTATTTTTACAGAAAAAAAAGCGGTAAGATATGTGAGAGACAAGGTGGGTGAGGTTATATCCGACCTGAAGAAAAGCTCTTTGTGGCTCAAAAGCTTCTCTCTCTCATCAACAGAAGTTGGTCCACTAAAAGATATTGTGCCCTCATACCCTGAGACCAACACAGCTGCAAAAATGCTGCAAACAGTAGGAAATGCATTCAAAGACAGGGTTCATTTCCTAAAGGGACATGTTCTCTTTTTCTTAGAGAAGAAGGATGGTCTTGTGATTAAGACACTGGACTGAGCCTCGGGTATGTGAGTTCAATTCCTAGTTCTGCCACGGCAAGTAACTTAATTTCTCTGTGCTTCAGTTCCCCATCTCTAAAATGGGGATATCGATACTTCCCATTTTTGTAGTATATATGGACTGTAAAGATCTTTGAGATAGGGACTGTCTTTGACTATGTGTATATTCTGCGCCTAACACAATGGGGCTTTTAGGCACTACTGTAATACAAATAAAATAACAATAATCCCTCAGTCCTGGAGCAGAATTTGCAGTGAAGTCAATGAAAATTCCATATGTGGAATGATAGTGGGATATGGCCCCAACTGTATGTTTGCTGAAACCTTTCTCCAGTGTTCCTTCCCTACAGCTGCTAACTCAATTGCAGTATCTATGTTCAATTGCCCAGCACAACCCCATGCTTCCCTCTTGGATGCATTCCAGCACAGATGTACACAATTGTTCAGAGGCCCCAATGCTGAACCTAGGAACTGCAGCACATGTACTAGACCATTTAATTAGTCAAGCTATTGCTCAAGCCAGGATGCAGAATTTCATCCATTAAAAGCCAGAGTATGCAAAAAGCCTTCTGTCTCATTACTTCCAAAAACAGTTAAAGAAGTACTCAAAAGGGGAAAAATAAGCACTCCAGAGAGAAAAGCAGATCTGGAAGAGTAATTTGTAAGGGATTGCTTATTCAATTAATTATGCCTCTTTTATTACTGTTCACCGAGTGAACAGATTGGGATCTTCAACAAATTTGCTATTTAAAACTGTTGACCAAATAATCCCTTGGTCTGCAGCTTGCTTCTGAGTGTTCAGTATTTGAAATGGAAGTGGTTTTGATTAGACATGTGGTACTACGCATATTTGTATTACAGTAGCACACAGAGGCTCGAGCCAGGATCAAGACACCATTGTCTTGAGTGCTGTACAAATGAAGTCCCTGCCCCAAATAGCTTGTGGGCATGGTACTGGTATATTCTATTCCATGGCTGGATGCGATTGGCTCCAGCATGATTACATACTTGAAATTCACTCTCTTCCAGTATGCCCTTAAAAATTGCTCTGTCAAGGAACATTCCCATCAATAAACACGTTCATTAGAGGTGGAATTCATCCCTGCACAGAAGGTCAACACAAGGCTCAAAGCACCACTTGAATCCCCCTTAAGTCCCACTAAAGCCCAAAGAGCTTAAGTGATGCACAGACCTTGTGCTGTTCCTGTGGACAAGGATGAATTTCAGCCTAGAATAATTGCAAAAAGCTAGCGGGATGGGAGCACACACATGGGGGAAGTGAATTTATTTCAGGCTCCAGTTATTTTTTTTCTCAGTATTCTCCCAGCATTAGCGCAAACCCTGGAGGGATAGGAGCCTCTTTACTGAAATGCTGCTATGTTGCTCTGTCTGTTACTAGGCAAACATGTTTTAACAGCACAGAAAACACATTTGGAACACCGGAGAGAAAAGATTTCACTATGTAGAAAGGTTTCAGAGGAACAGCCGTGTTAGTCTGTATTCGCAAAAAGAGAAGGAGTACTTGTGGCACCTTAGAGACTAACCAATTTATTTGAGCATGAGCTTTCGTGAGCTACAGCTCACTTGAGCTGTAGCTCACGAAAGCTCATGCTCAAATAAATTGGTTAGTCTCTAAGGTGCCACAAGTACTCCTTCTCTTTTTACTATGTAGAAATTGGACTGAGTCCCTCTAATTTGAGGACCATCGTGAAGCAATAAATACCCATATTCTAACTCCTGCTGGTACTCCATAGCTACCAAGGGCCAAAACATGACAACGTCTTGGTTCTGCTGAGGTCGGAGACAGGAAGTGGTGTAGCTTTGTGTGTTGACTCCTCTTTGGCCCCCTGGATGATGCAGTGCTGAGCTCAACCCGGTGTTCTCCATGGGAACGTGGGGTCGTGTACGGTAGGGGAAGTGGCAGAGTTGATCTAGTGGGATGGAAGCCTCGTGGATCCATTGTGAACTTCCTGAATACACCAGTTGCACATGGAACTCATTCCCACTTGGTGTCCCACTCTGTTCTCCTACAGTGATGGCTGAACCACATATAGGGTATGTCTACACTTTCGAGCTGGGTGCCCCCAGCATGTGCCTATTGTCTCAGATGGGCACATACTCAAGGTGGCTAGTCCCACCTGCCACTTGCACCACCACAGCTGCACTCAGTAGGGTGTTAGCTCAACCAGAGCTGGCTAGTGTTGATGTGTCTCCTCGAGCTGGGAATTGCAGCCCCAGCTGGAAGTACGGACCTACCTATAGAGGTTGATAAGCCTGCTACAGCTTTGGCTAACAGAGCTGGGCTTTGGCAGCAGCGGGTCATGCTTTTAGAACCAGCAGTCCCAGGTTCAATCGGTTGACTGACTTACCCAGAGCCACGGCAATTATATTAAGCCTTATATATTTTTATTGTGGTTGTCATTTATAATGTGGTAGAACCTAGAAACTTGAATATGAAAATCTCAGCCTCAGTCTCCTCCCTTTGCACAGAAATGAGCATTTGGATAAAAGGCCTCTTCTGGGAAGCAGCAATCTTGTGGGAATCATCCCGACAACGTGCTCTGTGCTGCTTATAAACCCTGCACTTTTGGGAGCCTGACCACTGACCTGTGGATTATTCCATAATAGCACACCACTGGCAGCAGCAATTACCAATCCACTTTTATTTTTGTTTTGCTTCTTACTCACATTTTAATAACCATTTAATTGCAACATTATCAGCAGACTGGAATATGGTGCCAAGAGCTATGTTATACACTGAGTCATCCAATTCCAGCACAGTTTATCAGTTAAATATACTATTATAGTATCCTGTTGTATGTAAAGAACTAGCTGGTTTCGCCTCTGAGTCCAAATACTTTATGATAATAAGCCTTTAAGTTTGGGGGTATTTTTGATACCTGTTCTTTGGATTTAACCTCTCCCAGCTGGTCTATCTAGGCTTTGGTTTCATTTTTATGTACTGCAACTATGAAGCAAGCTTTTATTAAGCAAGGATGTGAACGGCATGGTAACTCAGGTAAAATAGCTGGCTGTCAAACTAGACATCACCATCATAGAGGTAATCATTGTTTTTATCTTTCATATCAAGCATTTCTTTCCCCCATCTAGACTGAGTAATATGCTAGTGCATTTCCATCCAATCTGGGTGCATTAAGTCATTGCTTCCTCAGTGTGCCAATCTGCAAGCATCCTGATAAATGCTACATCCCACTCTCTCTATATGGCTACAGATCATTGACACACATATAGAGCATAAGTAGGACAATGGAAAACGCACATTGGATTTTGAGTGTGTGTGTATGTTCTAGTGAAAGCCACGGTGGTCATATGAATCTATAGATGATGTCTGTCCTTCAAATCATGTGTATCTGTGAACCTATAAAAATCTGTACAGAAAATAGTCGGAAACCAGCTGAGTTCTGATATCTCAACTATAAAAGGCAAATCTAGGCAGATCAAGCAATCATCCAAATTCCCCTAGTTTGTTTTACAGCCTAAAGTACCCCACTCAGTAGTCATCATTTTAACAAGGGGGTTGGGGAGGGTCGGTATTACATGATATTTAGGCTGTTGCCCAATGACTTTTAAGCACAGCAAAGAAATATTACAACAGATTATTGCTAAATTGCGCATGAAAAACACGGGACGTTGGATTACAAAGGTCTGGGGTTTTTGAACACTGCTTCCATTGACTTCACCGGCACGTAGGTTACAGACATGATCTCAGGTGACTGCAGGAGCTAAAATAACTGCTGAGGAATAACCACTGTCAAATAACGGCGAAGGGACATGGGTTCTAATTGCACCTTGCTGAAGTCCAGTTTCCTGTCTAGCTGGAGCAAGCTGGACATCCAAAACTTCTGAAGCAATTTCTCACCAGGATCGGGAGACAGGCCAGAGGTGCTCAGCGCATCCATTCCGCGGCCAGGCCTGGCCCTGGTTTCACAGTCCTGTGAACAAGCTTGATTTTTCGGTTGCTCCAGAGCCGCGGGATTTGTGCGCCGCTGCTGTTGCTACCTTGCCAAGGCTGTACATCCTGACATCAAAACCTTGAGCCTGGACGCATAACAGCAGTACGGAGCCGCCGTAAAGTAGCAACGCCCCAGCCGGGGCTGCTGCAATGCATGCTCATTTCTTCACCTGCCTTTAAAGCCCTGGCACAGACCAGCCCTTCCAGGGACCCGGTTCTCTTCCCTGGCCATGAGTATGCGATACACGCGCGCCGCTCCCACCTCCCTGCAAATTGCACACCCCCAGCCTGCAAACCACTGCAGTGGATGGGCTCTGCCTCTGCAGTTCAACAGCTCGGAGCGGAGCCTCTCCTCGAAAGCCATCCCACCCCCCCCCTTCCCGGTTCCTAAACAAACCCCTCCTCCGAAAAACGAAATCGGCAAAGGCCATTTGGGCCGAGGCGCACCTGCATCACCGAGCGATCGGGTACCCACCGCCGGCAGCTGCCCATCGCACCACGTTCTCCTGCATCCCCGAGAGAACGCCCCAGATACACACACGCCTTCTACCCTGGATCAACATGCAAACCAGAAATTGCACCCCCCCCCCCCCACGGCCTTTAACCAGCTCGCCTTTATACCAGAAAAGGGGGGGGGGGTTCAGAGGGTGGAGGGGGAAGTAAAGATGTCCCAACTTACGCCCTGGCTTTGGGGAATCCCATTGATAAAAGGATCTCCAGAGACGACCCGTGTTTGATTGTCCCCGTTCGTTGTTGTCTGTTTCGTCTGGGGGTGACTTTGCTGTAGAGATCTTCTTTGGCAGCCATGGTGTGTGGTGTGGAGTTGTACTGGGCCGTCATTCAGCCATCGCAACACACAAACAACAACACACCGGAAAGAAAAAAAAAAAAAAGAGAGAGAGAGAGAGACAGCTGATCCACACACCGAGAAAGGCAAGCGGCTGCTGTTGTGTTGGTGTGTGTGTCTCTCTCTCTCTGTCTCAGCAGCTGAGCGTGGAAACATACAGCACAGCTTCCTGGTGCAAAGCAACCCCCCACCCCAGCTCTCACAAAGTCATCGCTGTTGCTGGACTAGCTCCCCAGTTAAGAAGTCTCTTTCCCACTCTGTGCCACACATGTGCAGCAAATGAAATCCATGCAATCGCACTTCCTCCTCTTGAAAAGTCAGGAATTTGCAATGAGTAATTTCTGAATGGATCAGAAAGGCAAAAAGAAGCCCTTGTGGGCAGGCTTTGCCTTTTCCTCTCCTGGAAACCCTCCCCTCTCTTAAAGCTGCAGTGGATTTTATACCAAGCCGCAGACATTTAACCAGTGTGCTTTGCTGAACGGTTTGAACAAGCACTGCTGTTCTTGACACAAACCCAGTATCCCAATTTGTGGGGCTGCTTTTGTGAACCTAAAAAGCTAGTTCCTCAAAATATCCCTACATGGTTGGTTGGTTGCATTGGACAGCTACACTCAAATGTGTCAACTCCCAGTACTTGTTCCTGCTTTTTTGATCAAAGCATGAAATTGCAAAAATAAAGTTTTGTCATGGGATACTTGTTTGGAGAAACTGAACATCTAAATTACAACACTGACTTCTTGTTATTGTAGCAAATCCGTGGCCATTTTAGGGCTTGCTGTTGTCATTTTAAGGCTGCATATTAGGAGATTCCTAGCATCAGGGGACAGCTTTCAACTCCTCCTGCTCCTGAAGCACAATCCCTACAGCCTGAACATCTCAGTCTGCTCCTAACACTATAGGGTATATGACCCATAGTTGTGCAATTCTGATTCCAGCCAAGAGAGAGCAGTGATCCACATGCAAACTCACCAATTCCTGTTTGTAGCCCTTGGATCATTCTGCACAGCCCACCATTCCTCGCTTGTCAAATATTGCCCAATGGCACCTATGTTCTGCGTGGGTTTGCCTCCTTCCTTTAATGCCTGCTCCTGTATAGGACTCTTTCCTTCTCTTCCAACCCCCCTCCACCCTCTCTTTGTCTTAAACAAGGTGGGTGTTTTGCTCTTTAGTGCGGTATTTTTGAAGTTTGTGTGCTATTGTATTTGAGTTCAGGGTATCACATTTTAGGGTGCATGGGAGGTGGACCAGGGAGATTATTCTCAAGATATCCTATCTATGCAAATCCTCCTTCCCCTCATCTCTCCTTTGTCTCCTTTCCCTCTAGTTTTTTCTTATCCCCCCGCCCCTCCCCACATTCTCAAACTTCTCTGTCCCTCTCTCTTCAAATATTGGCCACCCCTTCTTTCCCACCCATAAACAACAAAGGGGCCAGTATTGCCAACTCTTGTGATATATGGTGTTTCTCTTAAAGTCTTAGCTCCTGGAGGGAATCATGTTGTTATGTAAGAATCTCAACTTTCATTTAAAAATAAGAGTAAGATTTTAGCTCTCGTGGTTGCAGAGAAAAGCCTGAAAGTTTGGTGCCTTAAAGGAGAAGGCAAATAGAAAGAACCCCATACTTACTATTTTTATAAATTTTGTGATTTTTTTTTAAGCCAGTGTCATGGGGGATTTTGAGAGGGGTGATGACTCATGATTTTTAAATGTTTGGGGTTGGCAGGATTGTTCCCAGCATCATTAATAACATTTTCAAAAACGAATTGAAAACAAATGTTCTTGTTAATTTCATGTCACATGTGCAGCTCTTTCAAGTCACAGAATCAGTTAAGTAATAGATGGAAAATGGCCCTTTAGATCCCCACTCCATCTTCTTGCCAAAGCAGGAGAGTTCCCAGCAATGTGTTTTCCTTAGTCTTTAGCCAAAGTCAGGGTGAGAGAGAGCAACATTTTGTGATCAGCCCATCAGCATTAAACTGGCATCTGTGTTCTCACAGTGACAGCCGGGCTAAAGTCCCATCAAAATTAAAGCACAAGTAGACAATATACAAAACACCACTTGCTCAACTCTGTATTTGTTCTGAAGTCACTTTGAACCTCTGTGATGTTCAAAGAGACGTGAGAACAAGGAGGCTGGGCTGGTGTAAATCAGGAGGAACTCCATTCATGACAGTGAATGAAATCCTGGTCCTGTTGAAATTAATGGGACCTTGGCCATTGATTTCAATGGGACCAGGATTTCACCCAGTGGTGTTACTCTGCTCTAAGTGAGACAAGAATCAGGCCAGTAGTTTCAGTAGCAGTTTTAACGGTGGAATCACCATTCAAATTAAGGTTTCAGAGTAGCAGCTGTGTTAGTCTGTATCCGCAAAAAGAACAGGAGGACTTGTGGCACCTTAGAGACTAACCAATTCATTTGAGCATAAGCTTTCGTGAGCTACAGCTCACTTCATCGGATGCAGTCATAGGAAAGCTTATGCCCAATAAATTTGTTAGTCTCTAAGGTGCCACAAGTCCTCCTTTTCTTCATTCAAATTAAGGATTATTGTCTGTTTTACCATAGCACCTAGGAGCCCTCGTCTTGGACCTGGGCCCCATTGTGCAAGGTGTTGCACAAAGATTCCATTTGTATTGGATCCGTGGTTGTAATGGATGAGATGTAAAAGCCCAAGTTAGCATCAATCCTTTCTTATTACCCAAACTCCCCGACTCTCACAGTGAAATAAATACTGCAAACAGCTGTCTAGAAAAGTCTGATAAGCAAATATAACAAGCGCGAGAGTTGGTGCTGGCCAGCAGAGATCTGCACAGATTATTGTGTTTCTTAACTGGCTCTGGATATGCTCCAGGTACTGCTTGATTTTCTTTGCTCTAGATGCATTACTTGACCTTGAAATAATAATAATTTGTTATTGCAGTAGCTCTCAGAGGCTTTAACTGGGCCAGGGCTAAACACAGCACAAATGTATAGTCAGTGACAGACCCTGCACTATAGCATGTATAGTCTAAGGCCTGATCCTGCAATTCACTGCCTGTAGCTGGATTGCTGCACCCTCACGCATCCCCACTGAAGTCAAAAAGGGTGGCACCCATTCAGATATTCCTTGGGGTTGGGGGGGGGGAAGCGCGGCAGGAGAAAAGAATTCTGGTACCCATCTCCCCTTGGTACTCCCCCTGAACTGCAATCATACCCCCATGACTGTAGGATGGACATACTCTGTCCCCACCCCCACCCCAAAACCAAAATATTTCCTGATTTCTAAATTTTTCAGATCCTTGTTTTAATGAAACTTGAAAACAGAAATATTTCCAGTGGTCTGATTTTTCATGTTTTTGTTTTTTCCCTCCCTCTCCCTTCCCCTGTCTTCAGTGACAGAACAAAAGGAGGGAAAAGGTAGAATCAATAAGGGACAAACCTGAACATTTTTTGATCCTGACATTTCTCTCTCTCTCTCTCTCTCTATATATATATATATTGGTGAAAAATTCCTGACTTTTGAGAAATCGCCCCATGCCAAAACCTGTGAAATTAAAACAATTTCAAAATGTTTGAAAATTTTCACACACACACCCCATTTCATTTCTCCACCTACTCTTCTCTCAAAAAGACTTATGCAAGTGCTTAACCTTATGCACTGAGAGTAATTCTATTGATTTGCCACTCACAATGCACATACGTATGCCTGTGCAGAATACGGGCCGCTGCATGTCCCGTGCTCAATGCGATTCTACTACCATGGAATAGCAGTGGTCCTCAGTGAATCACAAATATGATTTCAGGTTTCAGAGCAGCAGCCGTGTTAGTCTGTATTTGTAAAAAGAAAAGGAGGACTTGTGGCACCTTAGAGACTAACAAATTTATTTGAGCATAAGCTTTCGTGAGCTACAGCTCACTTCCGCTGTAGCTCACGAAAGCTTATGCTCAAATAAATTTGTTAGTCTCCAAGGTGCCACAAGTCCTCCTTTTCTTTTTACAAATATTACTTGTTCTCCTCCAACAGGAAAAGTGCATTAGAGGGGTCTCTTTATATCACTTCCTTTAATAGTGGAAGAAATGCTACAGAACCATTTATATTTTATTTATTTTGGGTGGAAGTCCTCTGAAATAGCCACATGAAGTCAGTGAGAGTTTTGCTGTAAACTTCAATAGGAACAAGATCATGCTCATAAAGAATTTAGGTCAAGGCTACCCACCTTTCTGCTCTAGTGGAGTGGTTTACTGACTAACAATAGAAATATGGTGAAATAAACACCACAAGAGCAGGAGACATAAAGCGGGGGAAGGGGTGGGGCTGTCTTCCTCCTCCACAACTTCCTCCTCCTAAAAAGGTCCCAATACTTTCAGAAAAAGCTCACACAAGAGTTTGCTTTTGAATAATCATAAAAATTATTATTAGACAGACCAGGTGGGGAAGGTAATATCTTTTATTGGATCAACTTCTGTTGGTGAAAGAGACAAGCTTTTCATGAAAGTTTGTCTCTCTCACCCACAGAAGTTGGTTCAATAAAAGATATTACCTCCCCCACCTGGTCTCTCTAATATCCTGGGACCAACATGGCTAAAACTATTGCAGCCAACAATAATTATTATTTATTTGCATTGCTGCAGCACCTCAGAGCTTCAGTCATGGACCAAGATCCTGTTGTGCTAAGCGCTGCACAAAAACAGAACAAAAAGATGGTCCCCACCCCAAAGCTCCTGCAGTCTAAACCTGATCCAAAAAATAGTAAATTAAACAGTAAGGTAAAATAAGACATGTGTTTTTAGGCCTTTCGGGTCTTGATCCTGCAACCACTTGCACACTGGAGTAATTTTACTGACACAAATATTCTAAGGGATATGTGTGTGTGTGTGTGTGTGTGTGTTATGTTAACAATTTATTAAAGTGTTTGCAGGATCAAGCTTTTGAACACACAAAAACTGGAGCTGGTTGAAAAAATGCAAACAAAAAATAATCGTCGAAAGCTTCTTTTGCATTTTTTCCATCAAAATGACATTTCAATAGAAAATTTAGTCAACGTTAAAAAAATTGATTAACTGGTTGAAAAGCACCAAAAAAAATTGTGAACAATTAGTCAAAATTTCCTTTTTTTGTCATGGATTTTTTGGGGGGCCAAAAAATAGAAATTCAGCAAATTTCAACCAGCTCGCTCTGTAATTCTGACTTTTTCTTTGTGGCTGCCATTGTGTGGCTCACACTGCTAGAAACTTACATGCTCACCTAGACAAGTTCAGAGCGAGTACTGCTGTTTGGGGAATGCGGTTGAACGACATTCCTGATGTCCATTAGCCTTAAAGCCTAAGACAACTTTGTCCAGATCTTATACCTCTCTGGGGTCCCATAACTGGGCTGAAATGATAATTGAACAGGGTTCTGCTTAGTGGGGAGATTTTTCTTCCTTTTTCTGGCATCCAGCTGT